CATGTGGGTGTTAAGGGAAACGCTGACTCTTGAATGTATTTGAACATGTGATGTGCAGGGATATGTCTTTAAGTTTGCACGTTGCTGAACTGCTTGATTGCCACGAGTGCAAAGGCCGAAGCCCCGCCACTAGAGGCCGCTGTCAACGACACACGGGCCTGCCAAACTCCCGCCAGGAGGTTGAGCACAAAAGCACAGCAATGTGCACAACAAACTCGAAGGCACATACATGCCTGCCCCTCAAGCGCCTAGAGCACATCCCGCTTGAGTTGAGCCGTCAAAATTTGAGAATGGCCACAAATTCGGTGTCAGTCTCCTACACAGCCACTACACAGGGACGGACCTTTTGTCCGCTTGGTTGGGCTCTGTGAATTGGTAGGAAGCCCACACAGGAGACCTACCAAAATTCAGAACCCCCTCGTCCAAACCTAGCCCCTTCCTTCCCTTCCCCCCCGCTTCCTTTACCCCCCTCCCCCCTTTTGTTTTGTCTTCCTGTCTGCTCACAGGTGCTGCTGAGAGGGAACCCGTCCATCGCCACTACCGCCGCACTTTGCAGTTTGGAATAAAAGGGCCAGCCTTTATACAGGCTGAGCCCCAGCAGCCTTTGTGCTGCACGAAGAAGAAGATGACCGGAAACTACCTCGCCACCCTGCGAAATCTTTTCGGTTCCACCATTGGGACCTCTCTATTTCTTACCGGCTGAAGGAGTGTCTGCACCGCTCCTCCTGCTGCCCCCCCCTCTATTGTGTGAGCTGCTTAGATACAACAAGCGGCTCCCGTTCAAAAGATTTTTCTTTCAATTCGGAGGATTTTTCTTTTGTTCCAAATTCCAATCTTTTCTTTCAACCAGTTTTGTGGGACCACCCCAGGGGTGCTCCGAACTCGGGCGTGTATAGTGGTGAGACTGAGAAGTTTGCCACCCAGTTGTCTATCATGCGCTGGGTTCCATGGCTAACTTATAGGTTTGGCGAATTCAGCCTGCGCCGAGGTGTGCAGCCCCTTGCCCCTTGGTGAGGGAGGAGCCTTGGCGTGGCCTGACTTCGAGTCGAACCTGAGCCCGAGCTTGATCGGTGCTGGCCTCATCCACTGTACCTAATCGCACCGCCTGCTATGCAAATCATAGCGACGGAGAGTTCGTTTGTCGGTCTGCTTGCCAGCCGACAGCCCAATTCTGTGTTGTTTCTTGCTATGCTTTTCCGAATTTATTGCGATTGTTTTGCCTATTTAGAGTTGTTTTCTCAATGATTTCGATTGGGCCCAGGAGGCATAGCGTGTTGCTAATCTGCATACGCTACGCGGTCCGAGCGCACGAACGACCTCGGACACGGCCGGCGGCCGATCCTTCCTTATAAGGAAATCCCCATGCAACCGAATGGAGCCTAGGATTGTGCCACTGGCACCGGCCCAAAGGGGGGAGTCCTTTTGTTTGTACCTTTCTATTTTTGACTGGGAATGGGTGAGAGTCCCTGAAGGGACCCTCGGGTGTTTGGAGCTGGTGGTCCGTTGAGGTCGGGTCGCAGCGGAGGCTTCACTCGTCCTCTGGCTGGAGGGGGGCCTAGACCTCGGGGCGGAGTTCGCCGGGCCTGTGGACCAACCAGGGAACCCATGGCTCTGCACTGCACAGCGCACGAGTTCGGTCCCCTTGTGCAATGGTTTGGTCCATTCAGTAGGAATGGCCGATGGGGAGCGAACCAAGGACGTGCTGCCGCTAGACTGTGTTCACGATCATGGTGCACCTGCAAGAACACGCGACCGTAGTTTTATCTTGGATAGAACCTCCCAAAAATGACTATAGTGCGCCTAGGAGTGCACTCACCGGCTTAGTCTGTTTTAATGATTGTGTTTGTCATGGGATCTGCGAGTCCCAAGGTGCTTTGGGAAACAAAGGGGGGAGACGATTTGCATACGCATGACTATGCCCCCACCAGAGAGAGAGAGCCCCCCCCTCCCCTGCCAGGACTGGCACGGTACGGGGAGCCCTCTTTCGCCCAAACGCCGACACTACACGCGGCTGCGTGGAAGCTGCTACTGTGTATTTATTGCTGCTGGCCTCAATGAACCCTATGAACCGCCTCCGCATAGGGAGACGATGGGGTTGTTTACTCAGGGATCTGTGGAGGCTGCCTTATTCATGGGATTGATTTGGCATTGTTTGGTAAGTATAGGACAGGTTTTGTTGTTTTTCTTTTTCAATAAAGAGAAATCCGTCCTCCAACGCTAGTTAGATTTAGACAGGAAGGCCATGTGGAAGCCCGGATGCCTCTGTCTGGATGACAACACCCTGGCATCGATGACGTGTCTGCCTGCCTGCCTTCCTTTTCTGCTGATGTTGCCTGTCATGGACCCGGACTCTGTCCCAGACCACACCACCTAGGGTCACCAACGCATGGACTTGGACACTCTTTTGCACCTGCCTGGCATGATGTCGTTTCACTTCCAGCTTGCCTAGAAATAGGCTGGCCTGGGCCTGCCGTTGCACATACGGACCATGTGCGTCCCTGGAATGTATCCCATGACTCTTTGGGATGGAGAAGACACCGCGCCATTGCACCCACTTGGAGAGCTGTGGAAAATCCCCAGCGAACCCCGGCATTCTTGGAATGGAAAGAGCAAGTGACCCTACTCCCTTAATCTGGTTTGGAGATCTAAAGACAATAGCGTTTATGGCTTTGGAGCAGGAACCAGATCTGCAAATCAAGAGGTGTCCATGGGAACGGAAGATTCACACCTTGCCAAAAGGCACCTTTGATGTAGGAGTAGGATCTACATATTGCCACCACCCCTTAGGAGAGCGTCATCCCCTTCGTCATCCCCTCGTCACCCCCTCTTCATCCAGTAGTGATAGTTTAGAGGACGGGTTTGATAGTTTATGGCTGGATAGCCCATGCCCCAAAAAGAGTTTATTTAAGGAGAAACTCTCCTTTGTCTCTCTGGTTAACCCACCCTTCCCATAGCAGTGCACTAAGGTGCTACAAGTGACTCTACTACTTAAGTTCTCCGGGAGTCGCGACCCAGAGAGCTCACACGTGGTTTGGCTGGTCCTACCTGTGTGCCTTGGAGTTCACAAGCTGCTGCTTTCGGCTGCCCAGCGTTCCAAGGAGGGGAGTTCTTCCTCAGCTGGACCTCAGATGAGTATAGCCGTGCCCCATTGTGTCATCCCCATTTTGATGCTTTTGTTATTTTCTATGCTGTAATTGTTCTGATGTACTATTGTAACTAAGGAGCTTGTATAACTGTGTGTGTGATTCTGATTTTGTATGACTGCAGAAACTTCTAGTAAAGACAACATTTATTCTTAATCCTAGTGTGTTGTCTCACTTCCTGGGATATAGCAAGCGTTCCCCTTCGACCATCTGACCTCTGTATAGACGGGTATAGAACTTACGCACAGCCACAACCACCCAATTCCTTGGTAGATAACTTGGATTGGGTCTCCAGGAATTTCCTGGAGGAGTTGGCATAACATTATCCATTAAAGGGATCTGATTACATAAGATTACATAGTTTATTTTATTTTATTTATTTTATTTTATTAGATTTATAACCCACTCTCCCCAAAACCGGCTCAGAGAGGGTACAACAATTTATGGAACATACAGTCTATTACATTATAATAATTACAATACGTATACTAACAATTAAATAATTACAATAAATACAATATGTTCAATAAAATACTACTACTATACAGCTAAAAGATGGTGTAAAATCATATGGAGGGGCAATATATAACCATCTGATAAGAAGGAAAGGGGGGAAATGGGGGTGAGGGGGAGGCCAATCCTAGATGAAACCTATCAGTAGTAGTAGTAGTAATTTACTGTGTTGACCATAGGTCATACAATGCAGAAAACAGTGCATAAAATCCCATATAATTCCCTTCCCCTCCCCACAACAGACACCCTCTGAGGTAGGTGAGGCTGAGAGAACAGCTCTTGAGGGAACAGCAGGTGCAAGTGGAGGAGTGGGGAATCAAACCCGGTTCTCCCAGATTAGAGTCCGCACTCCTAACCACTACACCAAAATTACAGGGATGTAAGCTGGTATCAGGAGAGAAGGCAGCATGGTATAGCCTGACCTCATCAGATCTCAAAAGTTAACCAAGGTCAGTACTTGGAAGGGATACTATCAAGGAAGACTCTGCTGAGGAAGGCAATGGAAAACCTCCCTTGCCTTGAAAGCCCCTTACTGGGGTGGCTGTAAATCCACTGTGACTTGATGGCGTGTTATATACACACAAGGTGGCATCATTCAGCTTTGGTCGTAAGTGACATTTTTGCAATCGTCCAAGTCCAGCAGTGCTTGAGGGGCATTTTCAAGGACTTCATGGAATGACTACTGCACGTGGGTCCACACATGTGGCTCCCAATTCACTCTTTGCTGACTCCCTCCTCTCCAAATCTTATATTTCCCACCAAGAGGGAGGAGTGGCCTCCTAGTAAAACTCTGCCTAGTGTAATGCTGAATGCTGCGCTGCCACCTGCAAAACCAGCTTGTACCCTCAAAATAACGCTTCTTTTAGATGAAGCATAAGATAGCAAAGGGATCGAGTGTTGGATTCAAGTAGAAAACAGCGTGAGTGGTGAGTATACAGTGAGTTCATATAATTCAATTAGTAATCTTTTCAAAAAAGAAGAATGCATAATTGAATCATCACTAGGTACATGGACTTTGTATATTATGTATGTGCACACAGGCACATGAATTATAGCCCTCTTATGGTTTCTGATGCAGAACAAATGATCCATTCTTCTTCTATGACATTTTTCTGGGTCATTAGGAAATATTGCAATTTTGCTCTTCCTAACAGTTCGAAAGCAAGAAATTAGTACCACTTCAGTGGGAGGTAACAGTGTTCCGTGCGCCTTGGTGTTTAGTCATGCCAGCCACATGACCACGGAAATATCTTCGGACAGCGCTGGCTCTTCGGCTTTGAAACGGAGATGAGCACCGCAACCCTAGAGTCGGATTCGACTGGCTTTCGAGCAAGGGAAACCTTTACCTTAAAGTCCCTGTAGGAATCCTCGACCAGTCCCAAAACATTAGCAGTTTTGACACTGGGGAGCTATTTTGTCTTCTAGTGATTGACACAATATTGTTACAGGTCCCCCATGTCCCAGAATGTCTAGTTTCCCACAGCAGAAGGACCATGAAAACCACCCACACGTGGGGGACAACAGGTCTCCTCCTATAGCGGAAGACCTCTAGACACCTACCCCCACACCCTGCTTAGGTGAAGACGAAACAGGGGTCTGGTATATTATAAACACTTCCACAAATATTTTTCTTAGAGATTAGATGCACATGCGCCGGATGTGCCACCCTTTGTTACTTCACAAGTGGTTTACTGCAGATCCAAGGTTCTTCTCCTGAGCAGTGGGAGCTGGCAATACCTTGTTGGTTCATAGTTCCACAGTTTTCTCCTCCAGGAATTTCAAACCTGAAGTGGAAGCACATGGAGTTGTAAATTTCTGCCAAGGAAAGGTGGAGCAATTTTCACCCTTCCTCAGCTGCAGACCCCTAATTCACCCTTCTCATGCCATCCAAGGGAGTCGCCTGACCCCCCCCCCCAACAGCAGCATTTCAGCAGTGGGGGTGGAGGTGAGGGTACAAGTTCTAGTCAGGGGTCATTTCCTGCAGGAGCACACAGGAGCGGAGCTCCGGCAGTAAAGAGCCCATGGGGCGAGCACATGCAACAAGCCCCACCCCCTGCTCCCAGCAGCCCTCAGTCAGAGCAAGAAGCAGCCAGGCAAGCCGCAGAGCCCACCCCCCTCCCCCCGGCCTCCCAGTCCAAAACAGTCCAGTGGCACCTTTAAGACCAAGTTTTATTCAGGTACAAGCTCTCCCTCCTCTGCAAGGACAGATCTGCACATTCTCCCCCCCCCCCAATAGCTAGCAATCCAAAACAGTCCAGTAGAGCCTGAGCGGTGGGTGTTGCCTTCTGACACACTTTGGGTGATGTCAGGGGGTGTGGCCTATGCAAATAAGTTATGCTAATAGGTTATGCTAATGAGCTCCTGCACCTCTTTTTCTACGAAATGACCCCTGGTTCTAGTGATGGAAATGCCTTAGGGAGTGACCACAGGTCCATGAGTTGGTCTTTGAAATTCTTAGAATAAGTGACTTGCATAGCTCCTTCCACTGACTGGTTACACTGCTGGAAGGCAACACAGGGGAAGGCCTGACCCTGTAGCACAAACAACTACTGCACAGGCACAAAGCCACTTGACAAGGCATTTGAGTTATGAGTTGAAAAGCATTACTGCAGTGATCCAAAGGGAAGGATCAACTTGCATCTAAGCAAACAGTTCTGTCAAAGCAAGCTTGTCTGGCAATCACACCTTCAAAGTTCTCAGCACCCCCGTCTCTAGTTGGCTGCCTTCATGTGATCACGACCCTACAGCATAGAATTTGGAGAAAGGACATCACAACATGGCTGTCGTGGGAGATAGGGCCAATCAGAAAATGGCTGCCATGAGCAACAAATACTAAAAGTCAGGTTGACTTATAAACTGGGAATTTCAAACTGTGCACACCCTGCAGACAGTCTCTCATACACAGAAGAACTAGTCAAGGAAGTGAAGAAGTGAGAGGTGGTGGGGGCACAGACAAAAGTCCATTGCCAAGTTACAAACTTCTAGCCAATACTGCCCCTTTGGGATACGCTGAAGGAACCCCACCTACTGATCTCTTAATGTTTTTGAATGCTGTTCAGTTCTCCAAGTTCATATGCCACCATGCTCCTTATAAGACTGCAAACTCAGTGGTGTTCTGGATGGCCTTAACTATTCCACAGCCAGTACTGCTGAACTTCTGGTGTCTGAGTTTGGCCTGCTTGACACATAGAGAAGAGAGACTCACCAGCCGTTGAAAATACTACCATTGGTCCATTCCCAGGGCTGATTTAAATTTCTTTGGAGGCCAATCCAGTGGTCTGAAAAACCTTTGTAGCGCATCATAAAATCCTGAGAAGAAGAAGAAGAGGGATTTATACCCCGCCCTTCACTACCCAAATGTATCTCAGAGCGGCTTACAAACTCCTTTCCCTTCCCCTCCCCACAACAGACACCCTGTGAGGTAGGTGGGGGGGCAGAGAGAGCTCTTGACAGAAACTGCTTTTTCAAGAGCAGCTCTTATCAGAACTACAGCTTGCCCAAGGTCATCCAGCCAGGTGCAAGGGAAGGAGTGGGGAATCAAACCTGGTTCTCCCAGATTAGAGTCCACACACTTAACCACTACACCAAACTGGCTCTCTAAAAAGAAAAGCATGCATGCATTACCGATCCCACTCTGGGTATGTCCCATTTGGTTCTGTACAGAAATTAAATAAAGCACATATAGATCATCTACAATGCTTTATCAATATGGAAAGATTCAGAATGTTTCCAAGCCGGATAATAAAAATTATCTGTCGTTGTTATGATGAATTGTCAAGACCCCCCCCCCCCAACGTCTGTGTCTGGAAATACCTGATGGAGAAGCAAGATCAAATAGGGCTGTTCCCCCAATAAGGAGTCAATTTAACCAATGAAATAATTTATGCAGGGCATGGTCAGAACTTGGTTTTTACAGCTGTGCAGGGGAGGCGGTTTCTTGAACTGAATCAGATTTTGTGCCAATTTGAGCTGCCTCCATAGCCCAACTTAGCCAGAGCTTGTTGGAGCTCAGAAGCAAAGCAAGGTTGGCCATGGTTAGTACTTGGATGAAAAGTCACCAAGAAAGACAAAGTGTCACCTCTCAGCTGAGTTGGTGTGAGCTAGCTCACAGTTTTTTAGCCTCCGGCTCACACATTTTTGTCTTAGCTCAGGAAGGATGGTTCCACAGCAAATTCATTTATGTAGCAGCCAAATTGCTCGCTCACAACTTTAATGCCGGCAGCTCACAGAGTGGAATTTTTGCTCACAAGACTCCACAGCTTAGAGGGAGCACTGGCTGCTATGCAGAGGAATGGAATGACAAACCACCTCTGCTCCTCTGCTCCCTGGAACACCCTGTGGACGGGGTTGCCAAGAGTCAGCTGCAACTCAACAGCATGAGAAAGGCCAGACCCTGTCTTGCATTCCTAAGAGCAAAGTCATGATCCTGATACTGTGGTGCCTCTTATTTGCTTTCCCCCAAAAAGGACAAATTCCTGATCAATTGTGTGTATAATTTTGAATAGTAACTCATGATAGCTAAATGGAATTTGTCAGTTTCAATACAGTGATGTTGGGACAACAAAAACAAAATGGAAGGTGAGGGGGGGGGTCTGGTTTCTTCGTCCGGCCTGTTCATGGGCTTCCTGGAAGCACCTGGTAGGCCACCAGGGGGACCAGGGGGCTGTGCCTCAGCAGCAGGGGACTTCTTAATGTCTCACTCTCACAAAATGTAGCACTCAGTTGTGAAACTGCATCTCCTAAAGGAGATCAGAGTTTTCTGAAACTTATGGATCTCTAAAACTGGCGACACTGTGCTTCTCCTGCCAGGTGCTTGGATGTAAACATATGCTGTGCTAAATTGGAGGTCTTTGTGCATTGCTGCTCCCAGGGTCAGCATTTACACTCAGGGTGTATTATATGCTGAAAGAAAAACACTGTTTCTACCAGCCCCCCCCGCCCCCCCCGAACCTCATGCTCAGCTAATGCCATGGAGCACCCTAGTGTAGCAGGAGAGGATGAGGACAACCCATCCCCAAGCTCTGCCTTGGCAGACCCTTCCTGTGAGGCTGGGATCTCACCTCAGGGTCTTCCCAAAGGGACCTGAGCCAGCATCAATACCACCCCCTGAGCCAGCAGGGCCCTTGGGCATGGAGGCCCCATCATGCATGGACCTGCCTGTGACCAAACCGGCCACGGCTTCCCAAAGCACCCGAAGAGCAGAGGTGGCAAAGGGCAAGGACTGAGACATGGACCAGACACAGAAGTGTGCACCTGGCTTCCCTCTGCTAAGGAAATGCTGGAAGTCATCACAGGACGTGGCCCCAAGTACTCCTCATAAGTAGAGGAGCTGAGTCAGTTTGCAAGGAAGAGCCTAACATGGGAACCAGCGACACCTGTACGGAAACTCTCTATATCAGGCTGCAGCCAGTGTGGGATCCATTTCTCTGTAGTCTTGCTGACTACCCCACTAGTTGCCTGACCTACTTTGTATCTATTCTCATTACCTGACTCTCAGACTGCTTTTGACTCTGCTTTTGGAATATGCCACCTGGCCTTGGACCTGGCCTTTGATTGTGTTACTGGTCCCCTGGACTGTGACCTTAGAACAAGTGCTGTCAGACTCTGTGGTTACTGGGACTTGCCTCCCACCTACTAGCCAGGACAGCTGAGTGGTGGCACAACTGGATGTTCTGCCAGAGCCACAGATCATGCACAGCTTGGATGCTCTTCCAGATGAGCATCAGCTTTGGAGAGGCTACAGATCACTGGCATCTAGGCAGTATTGTGCTGTCACAATAAAGCCGCATGAATAGTTTCAGGATTTCATCTCTGAAACCCAAAATTACATACAAATGTTAGAATTATAATTTGGGTGACTGAAGCTGTATAATCCCCCCCACACACACATACATACACACCAGGTGCTTATGTATTCTGTGCAGAATCTGTAAGCTTCCATTTGTATTCACTGTATTCTTAAATAAATAAAGGCTCACCATCTCTTCTTGAGAATCAACCACAGCCAAAGAAGCATTGAGAGAAGAACAGTGTTTCTTGCTAGACATCCAGTTTCCTGCAGCTTTTGCAAAATAGTAGCATTTTTCTTGGTATCCAACCCAGCCATTTGGACAGGAGACTACTGGGCAAGTAGGAAGGGCTGGAGATGGTCCCCTTGCTCCCACTGGAAATAAGCATTTCAGAAGGTAAGTTACTCTAATGGGAGTCGGTGTGGTGTAGTGGTTAGCATGGCAGACTAGTATCTGGGAGACCCGGGTTCAAATCCCCATGTGCCATGGAAGTTTAACTGGGTGACCTTGGACCAGTCACATTCTCTCAGACTAACCTACCTCACAGGATTGTTGTGAGGATAAAATGGAGGAGAGGAAATCAGTGTAAGCAACTTTGGGTCCCTATTGGGGAAAAGGTGGGGTACAACTGAATTAAATAAAGATACTAGTCCTACCGTAGTTATTGCAATTTTAGCTGCAATCAGACAGATGTATACCTTGTCTAATCAGAATTTCAGATTTCTCAAAGAAATGTGAAGGTAGGATGCTACCTCTGCTCTTGAATAGCCGATCAGTCTCTGGACATTGAAATGCTGTACAGATAGAAAGGGACTGCTCTGCAAACCAACCCACTTTGTAAACCATTCATTGGGAGACAGAGGGGTACCCCCTTGAAGAGTAGAACATTTGAGAAGATTTACTGTGCATATTTAAACCAGTGGTGGCCTTCTGTGAATGCAGGTGCTTGAACATAAGAACATAAGAAGAGTCCTGCTGGATCAGACCAAGGATCCATCTAGTCCAGCATCCTGTCTCACAGAGTGGCCAACCAGTTCCTCTGGAAGACTAACAACAGGGCATAGAGGCTGAGGCCTTCCCCTGATGTTGACTCCTGGCTCTGGGATTCAGAGGCTTAGTGCCTCTGAATGTGGAGTTCCTCTCAGTTGCCAAGGCTAGTAACCATTCATAGACCTATCCTTCATGAATCTATCTAATTCCCTTTTAAAGCTGTTTATACCTGTGGCCATCACAACATCCTCTGTCAGTGAATTTCACATTTGGTCTGAAGATCACAGAGAGTTCTAATTTGTTTCAGAATCTTGATACTGTGGAAGGATGTGGTGATGTGGTTAGGGTTTCGGGGAGGGGGTTGTGATCAACAGTTTTGACTAAAGTTTCCACAAGACTCAGGCTGCTGTCTTACTTCCATATTGCTTTTCAAAGCAGTTCGTGGCCTAAGATATTTTAACCTACTCTGCTTAGAGCAGCAGTTCTCAACCAGTAGTGCGAGCACCACTTGTGGAATACAGAAGCAGTCTAGGTGGGATGCAGGGTTTTCAGAACAGTTACTAAGAATTTGCTCTCCCCCAGTCCCTAGGGGCAAGTGTGATCTGCCGTCTTCTCCCAACCCTGCCTGCCACGGATTATCCATCTGTGACCTTTGGCCATGCTGGTAGTAACAACAGAATGCCTGTAAACATATAAATATCCTTCTCGGGGGAAAATGAGATTTTTGTTTCTGTCATTGTGTCAGGATCTTTGACAGAACAACTGGTGGGCTGTAAGATCGAACAGGGAGGGGCTCAGTGGCAGAGCATCTGCTTTGGCATGCAGAAGGCCCCAGGTTCAATCCCCAGCATCTCCGGTTAAGAACCGGGCAGTAGGTGATGGGAAAGATGTCTGTCTGAGACTCTGGAGAGCCTCTGCCAGTCTGAATAGAGAATACTGGCCTAGATGGGCCAAAGGTCTGACTCATGTGTTCATGTGACAGATTCAGAAGCACTAGCTTAGACCACCCATACGGGCTCATTGGCCAGTTTGGTGTTGGAGAGCCAGTTTGGTGTAGTGGTTAAGTGTGCGGACTCTAATCTGGGAGAACCGGGTTTGATTCCCCACTCCTCCACTTGCACCTGCTGATGTGACCTTGGGTCAGTCACAAGCTCTGGCACAGCTGTCCTTGAAAAAGAGCAGTTTGTGTCAGAGTTCTCTCAGCCCCACCCACCTCACAGGGTGTCTGTTGTGGGGAGGGGGAGGGAGAGGAGTTTGTAAGCCGCTCTGAGACTACAAGTGAAGGGCGGGGTATAAATCCAATCTCTTCTTCTTCTACTACTTTTAAGTGCATACAAAAGATGCTTGTGCCTCTGAGCAAATAAAGGGAACACAAAGAAGACTAAACAGCAATGTCTGGTTCATAGGCATTGCTTCCTGTCATATAATCAAACAGAAAACAGCATCATGGCTTGGAAAAACGATGACTGAGGGGTGACACGATAGAGGTTTACAAGATTATGCATGGGAAAGAGCAGGTAGAGAAAGAGGTACCTTTCTCCCTTTCTCACAATACAAGAACTCGTGGGCACTCAATGAAATTGCTGAGCGGTCGGGTTAGAACGGATAAAAGGACGTACTTCTTCACCCAAAGAGTGATTAACACATGGAATTCACTGCCGCAGGAGGGGGTGGCGGCTACAAGCATGCACTGCTTCAAAAGGGAATTTGGATAACAGGGTTGCCACTAAAATTTTATTTTTCAATTTCCCTGGCTTTCCCAGACCAACATTTGTCAATTTCCCTGACCACCATTCAAATATAACCACAAGTTAAAAAATGAATAGGTCAATGCTCCCTCTAAGCTGTGGAGTACTGTGAGCAAAAATTCTACTTTGTGAGCTACTGGCATGAAAGTTGTGAGCGAGCGATTTGGCTGCTGCATGAATTAGTTTGCTCGGGAGCCATCCTTCCTGAGCTAAGACAAGAATGTGTAAGCCAGAGGCTAAAAAACTGTGAGGTAGCTCACACTAACTCAGCTTAGAGGGGACACTGGTCGTATTGCATTAATGCAAGGTAAGGTTCCACTCTACAACTATACAAGTCTCAACTGCAAAAATATTTGTCAAAGAGATTTTAATATCAGCTTCTTTCAACATTAACTGTTTTGCAATTGCACCAAAAATTACACCAAGATACAAATTTCAATTCAAGTAAACTCTGAATGCTAACAAATGACATGACATTTCTGTTATTGTTTTAAAGGTACACTAAAAATTATATAAACGTTCTATCTAAAATGGTTGGGAAAGGGCATCATTAAGTTCTACTTGTATTCTGCTACTTCTCTATTCCAGTTGCCACAAGAACATGCTCTTGCAGCAGCAGGTCAAAAATCCACTGCTTGAATATATTTTAATCACAATTTCCCTGATTTTCCATGACTTCAGACCAATTTCCCTGACTTTCCCTGACCAATTTCCATTTTCCTGACTTTCCAGAAAGTGGCAACCCTGGATAAATATATGGAGAAGAGGTCCATCAGTGGCTATTAAGCACAAGGTATAGGTAGGAACTCTCAGTCTGGGGCAAGTGGTGCTCTGTATTCTTGGTGCTTGGGGGGGGGGGAGCAACAGTGTGTCCTGGTCCCACTGCTGGACCTCCTGATGGCACCTGGTATTTTTGGCTACTGTGTGACACAGAGTGTTGGACTGGATGGGCCGTTGGCCTGATCCAACATTGGCTTCTCTTATGTCTTTATGGGATCAGTGGGGCTCTTCACTCACCTGATAAACTGAGGATGGTAATGATCAGAATGAGATTAAGTATCACACTCACAGACGCTACGTAAAAAGCTGGCGTGCGTTTGACACAAAAATGCAAACCTGTAGAGAGAGGGGGGGGGGGGAAACCCTGTTAATGTTTCCCAGGCATCAGTGTGGTTCTAGGCAGGTCTGTCAAGTAACCAGAAGACGCTGTTCTGAACAATCTGTCCAAGATGCTAAACTCCTGCTTCTGACGGCTCAGTCTCCTTTCCTGCTGGGGTAAGATTTCTGACTGGACATTACATATGCTGAACCAAAGCTTTCTGACAGCCAGGGCTGGCTCGAGGTGTTTCTGCACCCTAGGCGAGGCTGCCTTGTGGCGCCCCCTCACCGCAGATGCCAACCTCCCGGTGGGGCCTGGAGACCTCCCAGCCGACCGCCTCCTTACCCACCCTCTCCTACCCCCGGAACTTCGCCCTGCTGGCCCTCCTCACCCTGCTGGGCCAGGCCGCCCTGCCCTGCTGCTGCCCGCCTAGTGACATGCTGCGAGTCTGCATTTAACTTTTTTTTAAAGGACAGGGCGGGAGGGGGGCCCAAGTGACTTGTTTTCCGCAAAGCCTGAGTTCTTTCGTTCTGCGCCCAGGAGAGAAGGGAAGGGAAGGGAAGGAAAGAGCAGGGGCAGTGCACATGGGGTGGATGCGGGGAGAGGGTAATTGCAGTGGCTTCGGCCCTGAAAGCATGGGGAAGGTGCCCAGCGATGCAGGGGGGCTCACATGGCTGCCCCCACAGCCCCGTTTCTGCTTCCCCAAGCCAAGGGAAGCAGCACGCTGGCTCATGGCTGCCCCTCGTGAGCCAGCCGCCCAGCTGATCCCTGCAACCGCCACAGCCGGCCGAGTCACGTGCGAGAGCCGCCTTTCTCTGTGCTGGGCGCTCACGCTCGCCTGCAGCTGCTTACATAAGCTGGCCAGGTGCGCCTGGAACTTGGCGGAGGGAGGGAGGGAGGGACCGCCCGCCTGCCCACCCACCCGCGAGAGAGCGCGCAGCCCAGCTCCGGCTTTGGGAAGGTGGAGGTGAAAGGAAATTCAACCCCAAACTGGGAATGTCCCAGGAGTCCCTGGCCTTGGTGGGGCGGCAGCGTGGCGGTGGGGCGGAGGCCGCCCTCCTGCAAGAGGAGTTCCTCAACGTGTGCCGCAAGGCACGCCTGGAGCTTGGCGGGGGGGAGGGAGGGGCCGCCTGCCTGCCCACAAGAGAGAGCGCAGCCCGACTCTGGCTTTGGGAATCCTGAGGGGAAAGGAAATTCGATCCCAAACCGGGACGGTCCCAGGAGTCCCTGGCCTTGGTGGGGCGGCAGCGTGGCGGTGGGGCGGAGGCCGCCCTCCTGCAAGAGGAGTTCCTCAACGTGTGCTGCAGTGGGCGCATGCTGGCTTTTTCTTGGGGGGGGGACAGTTCGGCACCCCCATCCAGGGCTCAGCGCTCTAGGCTAATGCCTAGTTTGCCTAGTGGATGAGCCAGCCCTGCTGACAGCACAGAGCTCTTGCTGGGCCAGTTCGTCTGGCCCACCCTCTGAACTCCATCATGCTTGACCTGGACATAAATTCAGAACTGCTGTTTAGCTTAAAGCCATATTAATGTCATATTAATATGGACTTTCTTATTGAATGTTTTACAAAACATGGGCTGTGGTCCTGCATTCTGGAGCTGGATGCACGGAATATACTCGAACCAACAAGCAAAGATTTTAATTAATGGGAAATTAACAGAAGCAATTTCAATTGAAACTAGAAAACTGGGCTGAGTGGATGTACCACCTCCCATGATTCCTTTGTCAAATGCCCTTCAAGTGACTGGAACTATTCATCTCCGCACAGTGCGCCTAGTGTATTAGGGTTATATTGGAAAGACCCAAATTCATACCCTAAAGAGCAATCCAAGCAGATCTACTTGGAAGTAAGTCTCATGTTATTATACAGAGCTTTCTCCCAGGAATGTGCCTTTAGGATTACAGCCTAATAAAGCTAGAAAATTTATTGGGTGACCTCGGGCCAGTTACCTAACTTACCTCACAGGGTTGTGGTACAGATGAAAGAGACCAAATGCATCCCTAAGGCACACACAGACACTACTGAAGTAATTAAGTGAAAGTGACAGGGAGAAAGAGAGATATAGTACTGGAAGTGCTCTCAAACCTTAGAAGAGAAGTAGTATATCACTATTTTAAAAACTAATTTAATACATTTCCTTTATTCTTGTTAGCCCTCCATGTATATTCTTTGCTGTGTGTGTTACTGTGATCATTTGTAATTAACACAAATAATGAATTGTGGGATTGACAAATGCAAGCCTTAAGGCCCACTCTGCCACAGTCTTCCTTACATTGCCAAACACCACCCTGAGCCTGGCTCTGCCTCCCAGAAATGTGATTGGCTATATAACTCAGGCATGTTTCCCTTAGCTGCCATTTGACAGGAAGGATGCCATCTATGAGGGGCACAGGCCCTGAAAAATCACTTCCCAATTGAACTGGTCAAAAAAAGGTTACAACCCCAAAATGTGTTTTCCACTGAAAATCCACAGATGCTAAAAAATTAATACAGGTAAGAAGACTGAAACAACCGGTGTGTGTGTGTGTGATTACATGTATACCCCAAAATGGGAAACACCCAGGGCTTCCCTGAGGAAGGGTGGAATGAAAGCATAAATCATCATAGTTTGGCATTTCTAGGTCACCCTAGCCACAAATTGTTAACTTCCCTGACACCAGGTGGAGACAGAAGTCCTGCCTATGTTTTACTTACCAAATGGAGGTTTCAAACTGACTGTTTTGTGTCTGCTTGGGTATACACTGATGCTTCCATTACTTTCCTCATCCTTTTTTATATGTGAATTCACACGATGGTACCCCTCTGATTTCTCAGTTTCATATCCAGTCATCTTCTCTTTCTCTTCTCAGAAGGTTACGCAAACCCTAAATTGTCTTTCAGGGAGTTAACCCAGAGGTCCTTCTTAATGCTGAACTTGGCCTTTTCTGTTAGTGCAACTTTTTTTTCCAAAACAGATGAGCAGATGATGTGATGTGATCAGAGAAAACACAGTGTAAATATCACGTTAATGGTGTGTTTTCCTCTTGTACAGCCAAACTGGATGTTATATATCTTCCGCTGTTGAGCTTTATAATAGTTTTGGTGACAATGTTTGAAGCTGAACAGAACAGAGGAAATGCTCCTTTTTTCTCACAGAACTTGAAGTGCCTGTCCTTCTTCCTCCTCCTTGGTCTATTGCCCTTGCGGAGAGAAGTTACAGAACAGAAATTATAGTTATGTATAAGGATAAAATAATAAAAAAGTGTTTTTTTTTAAAGAAATTATTTATTTCCAAGCTTTTAATAGTTTCTATTTCTATTCCCTTCCACGTACTAAGAACAATCTAAAATATACTGTTTTACAGAGCTTTCTTGCCATTGTGTTAGAAAAATCAGTAATAGGTTTATAATGTGAGATCCCATAACCAATTGTTCCCTCTAAGCTGTGGAGTCTTGTGAGCAAAAATCCTGCCTTGTGAGCTACTGGCATTAAAGTCATGAGCGAGCAATTTGGCTACTGCATAAGTTAGTTTGCTCTGGAGCCCTCCTTCCTGAGCTAAGACAAAAAGTTCTGAGCCGGAGGCTAAAAACCTGTGAGCTAGCTCACACTAACTCAGCTTGGAGGGAACACTGCCCATAACTATCCCTCCAACTAGAGGAGGATGCCACAAATCAGCAGAGCATCTGCTTAAGCCTGCAGAAGGTCTCTGTTTCACTCTCCTGCATCTCCAGCTGGAAGAATCAGGGAGTAGGTAACCTGAAAGACCTGAGGTGATCTGAAAGGCCAGAGGCCCTGGAGAGCAGCAGCCAGTCAGAGCAGCTGAGCCTGATTAGACTAAGGGTCTGATTCCATATCAAGCAACTTCTCATGTGTGTTAACTGTGTGGTGAATCAACAAATCTGGGATGGAGCTGAAGTGATGGGAAAATGTCCTCTGACCCTGGCCTTATATTAGGTGGCTGTCATGGGCTCAGGAGCAAGGACACTAGAAAGCTGGGGCAACCCATTTTAAATTGTACTCTCCTCAGGACAGGGACCTATCATTTTGGTGTAAAGTTCCATACATTGTAATGACAATCATATAATATACAGATTATACATCCATCATAAATGGCTTTGAAACCATGGAATAGGCAAGGCATAACTGGACGGAAATCTACATCTTCCCCACACGTAGCAGCCTCTCAATACTAAACCACATTTCTCCCCACACAGCTCTTTGAAAGAGGGACATTAACTCTGCCCCCAGCACAAAGCTACCAGGTACGTGAAGCTGCCTTTTACTGAGTCAGACAATTGGTCCCTCAAGGTAATTCTAGTCTGTGCCGCCTGGTAGCTGCTTTCCCCAGTCTCAGGTGGAGGGCTTCCCCATCACCTGCTACCTGATCCTTTTTAGCAGGAGATGGGAGGGACCTTCTGCAGGCCAAGCAGATGCTTTAGTACTGAATCACCCTGGCAATCTCTCAGCATACAGCAGCATTTGGCTGCAGCACTCTAAAACAAATGCTGGATTGCTGCCAGCCTGAAAGGTTTCCCCCCTCTTCCTTGTGAAATGGGCTGCCCAGTGAAGCAAGAGCTGCAGAAGCTCCATGAATGTTCAGAAAGTGCTGTATAAAACAAGAGCTTTTTAAAAGGGGGCTTTGGGTTGATCTGATGTTATTTGTGACTCTCACAGCTGTTTAATGCCTTCTCCTTTGAAGATTATGATTTTATGGATGATTTGGAAACCACAAACAGCAAAGACATCTGAAACAAGAACTTGCACCCCTTTCAGTCATGAATTTACACAGCCCACCCAATTCCCCTCCTAAACTTTAGCTGAGCAAACTTATCTAGAAAAGCAGGAAGGTGAATTGTACTTCCCCAGCTGTGCTCACGAAGCAGCCCAGCCAGAAATGAATCGCGCTCGTGTGAATTTGTACATGAAACAACAAGCAATTTACAACAACAACTTGCTATGCTCTGCCCTATATGATCCGACAGACAATCTCTCTCTTACCTCCGTCCCTCAACCCACCTGCCTACCTCAGGCCTCCCTCCTTACCAAATAATGCTGGATTTATGGGGCAGTTTTATGGGGCAGAGAAGGAGCTGCGGTGGCTCAAGTGATTAAGACGCTGAACTGCAAGCTGTGGAAGGTCAGTAGTTCAGCAGTTCAAGACCCGGGTGCCGCAAGACAGAGTGAGCTCCCGTCTCTAGTTCCAGCTCCTGCCAACCTAGCAGTTCGAAAGCAAGAAATTGCAAGTAGATAAATAGGTACCACTTTGGTGGGAAGGTAACAGCGTTCCGTGCGCCTTGGCGTTTAGTCATGCCGGCCACATGACCACGGAAACATCTTCGGATAGCGCTGGCTCTTCGGCTTTGAAACGGAGATGAGCACCGCAACCCTAGAGTCGGATTCGACTAGCTTTCGAGCAAGGGAACCTTTACCTTTTACCTTTATGCAGAGAAACCCACCGGAAGGCCAAAAATAAACCAACCGTTCGAAACTTTCAAAAGCAAGAAATGAAGAATGTCGCAATACCTCTTATTAAGGCCAACCAACAAAGGGGGGGGGGGGCATGCTGTCCAGCTCACCAGAACTGCCGACAATCCTACGCCTGGGAGCTTCTCGGAGACCTCCAGCAGACCCCCCACCCCAAGTGCTGCATCTGATAAGCCCAACAATGCAACACTCTCCCCGCACACACCCTCCCCTGGAATGCGCCCGCCCGCTCGCTCTCTCCTCCTTGACGGGAAGGCGAATGCAACCACCCCCTTCCCCACAGGGGCCCGTTTCTGTTTACCTGTCCAGAAAAGCGATGCAGCAGAAACGACCCCTAACACTTAACTCCCAGGCATCGCTGTCAAAGCTGACTGAAAGTAAGAACAAGCTGCTTCTCGACGGTTCGCTTGAACTAAACACCCGCTGAGGAGAGGAGGGCGGGCGGAGAAAGGGGAGGGAGCGGGGTTTGAGAGGCGGAGGCAGCTGGTTTATTAGGAGAACCCTCAATGCCGCCTATAGCGCCTGCGAGCCTTTTCTGAACGCGCCCAGCGGCTCAGTGGTGTGGAAAAAACCTTCTTCCAAAGCTTCATTTTTTTAAAAAAAACAATGGAAATGTTGAGAAAGCGTTTTATGGTGCCACAAAGACTAACCAGGTGTTGTTTTTTTCTTTTTCTGACAAAGGTTTTCGTAGCAGGGAGCCTGCCTCCCCTGATGATGCTAAAAAAAAAGTCAGTCTTTGACATCAGCTTTGTTTTTACTACAGATAACGCGACGGCTTTCAGGAATAAGTGTTTACAATGGAAATGAATGAAATAATAAAAAAGGAGTACAGGATAAAAATGAGTGATCAGGGCGTCACTCCCTGGATAAATCTGAGAAGACCAGTGTCTTCGCCTTACACACTCCACTGTTTGGCATCAGAAATTCCTGGGGGCTAATCTGAGAATGAGATTAGTAGAAGAGAGAGATTTTCCATCACACTTGGGGCAGTCCCCAGGTGTGCAGAAAAATCTGAAAAGCTTAAAAAACTATATGGGGGATACTTTGTTGTTCAGTCGCACAGTCGAGTCCAACTCTTACATGCTCCGGAGTTTGCTTTAATTTCATGTTCGTTGTCTCGGTAACACTGTCTAACCATCTCATCCTTTGCTGTCCCCTTCTTTGACCTTCAGCCTTTCCCAGCATCAGGGTCTTCTCCAGTGAGTGCTCCCTTCTCATTTGGTGGCCAAAGTATTTAACCAGAGTCTTTGCCTTACACACTCCACTGTTTGACATCAGAAATTCCTGGGGGCCAATCGGAGAATGAGATTAGTAGAAGACAATTGAGGGCCCGCGAGTCTTGCGGGGGGGATCCCATCCCCCCCTCGGCAAGCCCAGCAAAGCCCCCGACTGCCCGGCAGTTTCTCTGCGGTTTGGCCGGAGTGGCTCCGACCAAGGCAGCAGTCTCTCTCCCCTCACCCCACCTTCCAACTCTCTGCTTCTTGCCCAGCTCCCACAGAGAAGATGAGGGAGGGAACTCTTCCCTCCCCCAGTACAGTCTTCCCTTCCTGGCTGGCTTCTCCACCACCAGGCCCGGAGCGGCTGCTTGGAGCAGCTGGCACAAAAATTGTGCTTTGGATCAGGAAACAGCATGTGTCTTCTTGAAATGGAGAGTCCCCTGAACATGGGGGTATATGATGGGCAACAGTCCAAACCTTGTTTTGGGGGTGCAGAGGGCATGTAGTCATTCCAGTTTCTTATTCAGATCTTCTTTGAAATACAGGCCTCTCAGTGGCACTCAAAATAAAAGCTTGTGGTGCCAGAACCAACGTTTGGACCGGGCACCATTGTATGCCTTCTTGCAGGGGACAGTCTCCAGAGTGTGGGGATGTGTCAGTTGGGGTGGTTTAAAGATTGTTTGGGGGTGCAGCCTGGTCCCACTACCTGCCTGTGTGACTGTCCTGGGGGCACCCCACTTTGGAGCAGCTGGCACAAGAACTGGGCTTTGGACCAGGAAACAGCATGTGTCTCCTTGAACAGGAGAGTCCTTGGGATGTGGGGGGGGGGGTTATGTGGAGCAAAACCTTATTTTGGTGTTCAGAGCTTTCAAACTCAGTGTTTTTGGTTGAATTCATGTCTAAATCATGAATAAGGAACTGGGAACCAACTTCAGCTTCCTCCAGGAATTTTCTCACCCAGAATTAGCAACCCTAAAGCAGGATGAGGGAAGGGTATTGTGTTGTTGTGGGGGGAGTTTTTTGCAGGGGTATCAAAATCTGAAAAGAATGGGACAGGTTCCAAGATTCATTTTATAGAACAAAAAAAATGCCATGTTTACAGTTCAGTCAGGTAGCAGGTCAAAGAGGCCTTTCTAGCTCAGACTGTAACTGGCCCAAGTTTACCCAGCAAGCTTCCATGACAGAGGTAGGATTCAGACCTGGGTCTCTTGGATTCTAGTCAGGCGTTCTAACTGCTACACCACACAGGCTCTGACTGATCAGTAAAGTTGTG